CCCTTCCGACCCTAGAAACTATGAAACTATGAAAATCAGAGAACACCAGGTTCCCTGCTAATAAAAATGAGGCAAAACAGCTAGCTTCCTTGAATGCCCTTTTTTCCTACCACAGAACTGCAGGGCAGTGTTGACTGTGGAGGTAGACTAGGAAAAAGACAGTAATCAACACGACTGTCTGGGGCATGGGAAGGATGTGGTGGTAGTCATCATGGGTCTGGTCCAAGATCCACTGAAGTCAATGGGTGCTTGGACAGTCTTTCTCACAAAGTCTACGAAACATTGGTCATGATACAGTAACATCTTTACTAATTTTACAGGTCTCTGACTTGGATTTTAAAACGTGATTCTGTAATGAATGAATATATGTATTTACCCAGGTTCCTTTCATCGGGCAAAATAGTTTTGGTGCAGGGGATTTGTGTAATAAAAGATAGTCCTCCCCTTCCTACGTGACACGTTCAGATCCAACACAAGTCATTAGCAAGTCAAAGTGGGTAATATATTCTGGCTGCCTGACAGCTCATCTGAAACGAGTGACTTGGTTTCACTCCAGTTCCCCATGAACAGGTGCACCATCACCTTCAGCACTAATTAGTGCCTTTGTGATAAAGGCCCAGGCCTGAACAGTCATAAATTACCCACTTTTATTGGAGGTGTTCCCTCCAGATCAGGTCTGAGGGGTATGGTTGATGGGTGTGGGATGTCATTATGTTGAAGTTGAACCTGTGCTGTGGACAGACTATCAGCATTCAGGGCTGAGAACTGGGAGCTTTTCATAAAACAATGCATTGCACAATAGACATTTGCGTGTGTTGTAAATTAAATGACTCGTAATACAAGACAAAATTCTTCCTTTCTCTCTTACCTCCTGCTTAATTGGCTTTAATTATGTTGTATGTTTGAAAGGTCAAACAAGTTTGGAGTTCGAAAATGATGGTTTGAGTCCCCAAATACTGGCCAGCGGGGAGCTATGACAAGAAGGCACTCCATCCATGCTAAGCTCCATTTTGAGTGTCTAAGATACCCAAAATAATGGGCTAGATCTCCGATGGGTCGTCGCTGGAGATGATTCCAATGCACGGTGCAGGAATGATTTCTAACGAGTTCACAGTTTGAAACCAGCCTATTCCTACTTACTTTTAAATCAGACTTGGAATAAGACTTTATTTACTGAGACCATATTTGCCCTGAGTGCATTTTTATGACCAAGTCATAAACATCAAAAAAGCCAAGTTTGTAATGAAAACGCTGCCAGACAGATCGACCCCCTTAGGGGACAGAGTCCAACAAATCGATCCGACAGTTCCTGACCCGAATTGAACTAACCAGCATTGCATTGAGACAGTAAGTGTGTTATATGTTCCCTCTCCGCTGCATTTAAACCCTCTTCAGTCAGAGAACGAGACTGCTTTAAGAATCATGCAAATGTGAGAACCACAAAAAGGCTCAGCCTTCCTGTTTGGAAACAGCCCGTTGGATAAATCTCAGAGAACGGAGGTAGACGTGCGAGACGTGGTAAAAACAAAGTGAGAGGGGGGAATGCTGTGGAGAGAAAGGTGAGTGCATGCACAGAGAAAGAAAAGGTGCAGAAAGGGAAGTTTGGATAGCGAGGGAGGAAGGAAAGGTACACAGAAATGAGGAGAGGGGCCAAGAAAAGTGAGAATAGGAGGAAGGAAGAGAGAAAGGAGAAAGGTTCCTAAACCCTCCTGAATCGCTGCTGTAGCTGTGAAGATACGATGCCTGGATTCTTGATACAAGTCCTGGTTGTGGGCCTGTATGCATTTGCTGTGCCCAACGTCCTGTGCGCATACATGGGGGGTGTTCCCTATACCCGGCTGTAGTTTATGGGTGTCTGAATGTGCACACAGTTTGGTGTGGTGCTTGCTGTGGCCTGTGTGTGTATGTGCTGATGTGTCCCATATATGGGTGCATGTGTACAGGTGTGTAGTGCTCCCATTGCCCCAGGTGTGCAAGCATGTGGGTAAGGATAGGTGTGTGGCACTCTGTGTGTCCTGTCTGGGCATGTGAACATATGGGTGTGTGGTGCTCCCTGGATCATGTGCATGCATGTGCATGTGTGTACAGGTGTGCAGTGCTCCCTACACTCTGAGTAGATGTGTGTGTGTGTGGTGCTCTCTCCCTGTGGATGGGTGGGTGTGCTGTACTTCCCATGCCCCAGTTGCATGCACTTGTGCCCTGTGCTCCTCAGTCTGTGTGCCCACCGTGTGTGTGTGTGTGTGTGTACATGGGTATACAGTCCTCCCCATATCTGTGTGTGTGTATGCACAGGTATATGGCGATCTTGGGTATACACGAGCATATTGCCCTCCCTGCGGCTGTGTGTGTACACATAGGTGTACAGTGCTCTCTGTGTGTGTGTGTCTGTGTGAGTGCTCATGGATATACGGTCTTCCCTGTGTCTGTCTCTGTGTCTGTATGCACAGATGTACAATGTTCTCTGGGGGGAGGGGTGTACACAAGTGTACTGTCCTCCCCATGTCTGTGTGTCTATACACACAGGTGTACAGTGCTCTCAGGATGTGTGTATATGTGTGTGCGTGCATGGGTGTACTGTGTTCCTCGTGTGTACAGGGGTGAAAGTTCCCCCCGTGTGTGCATGTGCACATGGGTGTATAGAGTTACTGATGTGTGTTTGTGTGTACAAGCCTCTGTGTGTGCACGCACACATGCATGTACAGTGCTCTCCATGCGTGTGGGTCTGTCAGTACACATGGGTATACAGTATTCCCTGTGTGTGTGCGCACAGATGTACAGTGTTCTCTGGGGAGAGAGGTGTAGATGAATGTACTGTCCTCCCCATGTCTGTGCGTGTATATGCACAGGTGTATGGTGCTCTCATTATGTGTGTATGTACATAGGTGTACTGTGCTCCCCATGTGTGTACAGGGGTGTACAGTGCCCCCATGTGCACGTGTGTGTGCATGGCTGTGTAAAGTTATTGATATGTGTGTGTGTACAGCCCATGTCTCTGTGTGTGCATGCATGCACTCATGTACCGTGCTCTCAGCATGTGTGTGTACTGTGCTCCCCATGTATTTCCAGCACTCCCGTGCCCCATATGCATGTTGTGTGTACAGGGGTGCACAGTGCCCCCCTTCTCTGTGTGTGTGCACAGATGTGGGTGCATAGTGTTCTGGGGGGAGGGAGTGCACACACAGGTGTACAGTCCTCCCTGCATCTGTATACACAGAAATAATATTCTTGGGGTGGGGGAAGTTGTACACAAATATATTGTCTTCCTCATGTGGGCACACACAGGTGTACAAGTGCTCTCGAGGGGTGTGTGAGCGCACAGAGGGCTCTGGGGGTGGTGGTGAATGCACCGATACACACAGGTGTATAAAGTGGGGGCGGTGCATGCATGTGCACACAGGGGCACAGGGTTCTGGTGGGAGGCGTGTACACAGAGGTGTATACGGTATGTATGTGTGTACACATAGGTGCAGAAGGCTGTGTGTGTGTGTGTGTACAGGGCTCTGGAGGGGTGTGTACACACAGGTGTATGGGGCTGTGTGTGTGCGCACAGGGCTGGGAGGGGGGCGGTGTACACAGAGGTATACAGGGCTCTGGGGAGGTGTGCAACAGGTGTATAGGGCTGTGTGTATACACAGGTGTATAGGGCTGTGTGCATGTGTCCATGTACACACAGGTGTATCAGGGTGCGTATGTTGGGAGGTAGGGTATATACACAGAGGTATACAGGGCTCAGGGGGTGTAGAACAAGTGTATAGGGGCGTGTGTGTACACACAGGCACAGGGCTGTGTGTGCGTGTGCATGTACACATAGGTGCACAGGGCTGTGTGTGCAGAGCTGGCGGGGGTGAACACAGACGCACAGGGCTCTGTGTGTGTGCGCGCCCATGTACACACGGGGGTGTGCACATAGGTGTATAGAGCCATGTGCGTGCGTGTACACACAGGTGCGTGCAGGGCGGTGTGCGTGCATGCACACACAGGTGTGGGGGGGTGCGTGCATGCGCCGGGCGGTGTGCGTGCATGCACACACAGGTGTGGCGGGG